CGTGACCTGCCAATCCCCAACCGCAACCTCGAGGGTATCCACTTCGCCATGGAGTTCCTGCACAAGAACACCAAGTCTCTCCTCGACTCTGAGCTTGCAGATGGTGCCTACATCTCCGCCAAGGATAAGCACGTGGTTGTCATTGGCGGTGGTGACACTGGTAATGACTGCATTGGCACCTCTCTCCGTCATGGTGCCAAGTCAATCGTCAACTTTGAGCTCCTTCCTCAGCCGCCTCCGGAGCGTGCTCGTGACAACCCGTGGCCCCAGTGGCCCCGCATCTACCGTGTGGACTATGGTCACACCGAGGTGCGCCAGCACATGGGCAAGGATCCTCGTGAATTCTGCATCATGTCCGAGGAATTCGTTGACGATGGCAGCGGAAAGGTCAAGGGCATCAACACGGTGCGCGTTGAGTGGACCAAGTCTGCCACTGGTGGCTGGGATATGAAGAAGGTCGAGGGTTCCCAGCAGTTCTTCCCCGCTGATCTTGTTCTGCTCTCCATGGGTTTCTTGGGACCCGAGGCTCGCGTCCTCGGCGACGACATCGAGAAGGATCCCCGCAAGAACGTCAAGACTGCGCCTGGCTCGTATGCCACCAATGTGGAGGGCATCTTCGCTGCAGGTGATTGCCGCAGAGGCCAGTCTCTTATTGTCTGGTAAGTTTTATTTCGTCGCCCGTGACCATGTCGAAACATGTTGCTAATCAATGAATCTTAACAGGGGCATCAACGAGGGTCGCCAAGCTGCTCGCGAAGTCGACTTGTACCTTGAGAAGAACACCGCCTTGCCCGTCACTGGTGGTATCGTCAAGGCCACCGCGGAGGAAGTATTTAATGCCGTTTCTGCCACGACCACCGTTGCCGCTTAAGGCGAGACACACGATACCACATACTTAACATCACACATGACTGAATGGACGGAGTTGCCATGGGATGAACGGTTTATGATCACGGATCGATATCCTCTGTATTTTCTGCGTCATTTGGTCGTCGTGCATGGTTTCATTTTCTTTTGGCGGCACCATTTTTGCTGTTTTGCCTTCGGGTTTGTTGTTTTTCATTGCGATACCATCGGTGCAATTTGTTTTAGTTCTAGAAAAAGGTCAAATAAATGCGTTATTTTATCAGCGAGATGCCTCTGCTTTGCGTTCTGGTCGCTGTTGGCGTGGTCTACGGTGTTTGGCACATTGATGATGAGAATGATTGCGTCTGCTTTGGAGCGTCCATTATCTTTCTTTTCTTGGGAGCTGCCGGCGTGTTCTGATGCTTGCAGACGGATGACTAGGTTGGAAAATGGTATGAACTTTAACAAAACGGTCTGGTCAAATACAATGTAGGGCTCATTGAAATTATCCGTATGTCTTTTGGTCCTTGGATGCCTATGTATATCTTTGGATTCTGACACCCTCATTACACCTACGCCCCTTTTCCATGACCATGAGTGTTGTTGAGTGAGTACTGTATCTTGATGTTTGTTTTCCTGTTTTAGACCGTAATTCGAGAACATGATCGTCTGATGAATCGTCACCCGGGCAATTCATTCGGTCAAGCCGTATACGTGTACAAGCTGGCTAGTCAGTGGCACATTTGAGCAATGAATTTGGGCGATCACTCGACTCTTCAACCAGGGGCTCACACGGGCTGATGGGCAGGCGAAGTTCACCTGGACAACAGCTGCTGTGGAGGGTTTGCTCCTAGGTAAAGCAATCTGGCAATCTGGCATGGTCGTAGAAAATGAATGCTACAACAAAAAATCATCCACAACGATGCCCTGAAGGCGAAAGAATGCAATATATCTCGGCTACTGACGGGTGCGGTCAGCGGCATGTAAATGTCATCATCACATATCCTGTGGCGCCAGGGGCGCGTATTTTACGTACCACCGTACGGGATACCGGTAGTGATGTGCAATTTAAAACACATGCTTGCTTCCGTACGTGCCGAATCCCGAGACATGTCAAGTCAAGCCTCTTTCCCGTTCCCGTAGCTTTTCCTCCGGCACGTGCCGCTCAGTGTGGTTGTGGCGTCATAGGCATCAGGGCCAACCAAGACTTCACCCCGGACACTCAGGATCGATCATGAATCATCACTCAAGGCCGAATTCGGAAGGAATATATCGTGATTCACATATTACACCGGTGAAGATGGAATGCCATGCTCCTTGAGTCCTGTCTTCCGCAATTGTTCTGATGCAACCATTTCGAGGGAGCGAGCGGCTGATCCTCGATCGGTGCGGTCCTCGCTTCCTCGCGAGTGCCGGAGCTGCATTAGCTGCTGTCAGTTGGAGATGCATTGCAAACTAAACGGGATTTGCATTAGTAAAAACTAACTTGAGGCTCCAAAAAAGGAAATGTGGAATGGTGTTGTGACCTTTCAAATATTTTCATGTTATCAATATTTTCTCATACACTAGATATCAAGGGTGTGGTTTTGTCAGCAGTCATGTTGGCCGGCCCTCCTCGATCTTCGTGTTTGTTCTTTCAACCACAGCCAAGCTTCCTGGGCGTCTCTCGATGGACCAATTCCGAAGATACCGGGTGGGCCATGGATGGGCAAATCAGTGATGGACGACCGAATGCGGTCTCATCGAGTTCATCTACAGCTTCGCCGGTCTTCCAATCAGATTACTCCTGCTTGCGGTCGAGACCATCGTCATGACCACTTCCCCCTCATCAAGCTGCAGAGCGATGAGCGAGCATAGAGAATTCCAGAAGACTCCTCGTCGGAGCTCTGCCCTTTGCAGTTACAGCACAGCCGCCTGACTGCCGAAAGCTTTTTTCTTTGATGCTGGCAAGAGTTGATGAGACAAGGAGCAGGTTCTCCTATTGGGCAACCATGTTATGGCAACCAGTGTAAGTGGGCTGATCGACTTCAAGGCCAAAATGACATGGTCTCGGCCGGTGGGTCCCCCGCCGCGCTTTGCTTTCTTTCTCTTGACGTAGGGAAAGAAGCGAGGCTGGTTGGCTGGTTCGCCTTCGTCTCTTGGTATGCCGTCTGCAGCAGTTGCCCTCCATCATGAAGTTACCGTGGTTACTCATCCGTTCCAGATTGCTCGGAATCTTTGACAGCGGCATGCGGTAACGGTTGATGGACCAACTTCGATGCTGTCATCGACCTTGTTTCTCTGAACTGGCACGCCTTCGAAATTATGGGGAAAGCTGAACTCATAAGGCTATAAGAGCCTCCTCTCGTGCTGTCCTCTTCTGGCCACTCCCGTTTTCTTGACATCACTACCTACCATCCATACCATCCATACCATCCATACCATCCATCCCAGACAGGACTCGACTGGCACAAGACAAAGCGGCCACCGTTTCAACTTTCTTGAATTATACCATCATCATCATCAAATCTTGGTGAGCACGGCAGACAAGATGTCTATCCTTCACGTCCGCAACGACGCCCTCGACACCAACCCGCCAGCGGGTGACCAATACCTGTCTACCAATGGCTCCAACTGGCTCTACGCCGTCACTGCCATCTATGGCTTCACTCTCGTAAGTGATGTTACTACTTCCTCGAACCGATGTCGAAAGCATTGGCCTGACACAAACCTCCCATGCAGCTCGCCCTCTTCGCCATGACCTTCAAGGCCCGCGCAGGAGAGCGCTTCTTCCACTATGTCTTCATCATCGCCAGCTTCGCAGGCCTAATCTCATACTACGCCATGGCGTCCGACCTCGCGTGGTCCCTCATCTCGCAAGCCAATAACGTCTCGATCATGGGTGCCACCCGCCAGATCTTCTTCGCCAAGTACATCAACTGGGTCGTCACCTTCCCAGCAATCATCCTCGCCCTCGGCGTCCTCTCGGGCATCTCGTGGACCACCATCCTCTACAACATCTGCCTCAGCTGGGTCTGGATCATCGGCTACCTCGTCGCCGCCTACACCCGCACAAACTACAAATGGGGCTTCTTCGCCTTCGGCCAGCTGGCACACATCCTCCTCCTGGTCGTTACCCTCTCCCACTCCCGCCATGTCGCCAACCGCGTAGGCATTTCCCGCGACTACACCATGCTCGCCGGCTACGTCAACTTCATTTGGCTCATGTACCCCATCGCATGGGGTCTCAGTGACGGCGGCAACCGCATCGGAGTGACACCCAGCTTCATCTTCTTCGGCATTCTCGATCTTTTGCTCGTGCCTGTCCTGGCTTTCGCCTTTGTCTTCTTGGCCCGCAAGTGGGATTACAACAGACTTAACATTGCCTTCACCCAGTACGGCCGTGTCCCCCACTCCCACGGGACCTTCCCCGAGAAGGATACCAACCGTGCTGGTGTCGTCGGCCACGGTACTGGCAACGGTGCTGGCGCCCCGGCTACCGGTGCAGGCGTCGTTGGCCACAATGCCGTGTAAACTCATTTCAAGGATGACAGACTCGGCAGCTCATTGGGTGCGTCTACCTGCCCCTTTGTGCTGCAAAAACAAGAAGTCGAATCGAACCGACAAGACACAATAAACGAAAACAAGAGGATCGAATTGCGTTGGTGTTATCTGTCAAGGACAATAGGGTTGGTTGAGATACTGTACTGCAATGCGTATACCCTCGCTGCTTGATTTGTCTCTTTCTCTCTTTCTCTCTGTTTCTGTTTTCCTTTGACCTCTCAATGATAGCGCACACACTCCTTTTGGGTATGGATTATGTATCATGATGATTTGGATGGATACCCTCCCCGGGGGGTTTTGATAATGTGTAATGGCAGGTGGTTAGATGGACGTCAAGTGCCACCTGGGTTAGTTAATCTTGGACAATTACAATATAAACAAACAAATATGTTCACTTTCGTTGCTACCTACGTATATTGCTTGGTGAATAATTTCATGCTCTCCAATCTGTCTCTGTCTGAGCGGTCCTCCGACGACTGTATAAGCAAGTTAATAGGAATCGATTCGCTTAAACTGAACAAGACGAACAACACTGTAAAAACCCCAAAAATAAAACCCCAAAAATAACAGCAAATGGTTTAAAACAACCTAAAAAGAATAAGGAATCCCAATGCCCACAATCAGAATCGAACTGATGACCTCATCATAGAAACCAAGGATAGACACGCAAATCAGTTTGTTAGATATAACAAGCGTGCCTACCTAATACTAGTGATGCGCTCTACCACTGAGCCATGCGGGCTTTCCTTCTTTCATCCGAACTTATTTTTTTTTTTAGACTCGAAGTTAAATAAATCCGAAAGAGAGAGAGAGAAAGAATATAAAAAACCAGAAGAGAAAAAAGAAACCAAAACAGAAACATTTATATATTCAATGCCCACAATCAGAATCGAACTGATGACCTCATCATTGAACCTAGCTGTAAAACTCTATCTCGGAGAAGGAAGTATGTTTACTAGTGATGCGCTCTACCCCTGAGCCATGCGGGCTTTTCATCTGTTGATGTATTTTTTCGTTTCAACTCCACAGATTTTATTCCGATGTTTGGTGGGCAGGTGTGGAGTTAGTTAGAGTTTCGGCTGGAGCAAAACACTAACATGAACGTTAAAAACAGACAGAGGCTCTCGGATGGGTTCATGTCATGATTCATGAGACCAACTCAAGAATCCACATCGCCATGTCCACATTGCTTGCTATGGCCAACGGTTCAACGTCCACTCCCCACCAGCCCGACTGGAAAAATGGAGCCTCAGCTAATAACCGTCTCCAGACTTGACCCACGAGGCAGAGGTTTGTTTCGTCCCCGGATCCATTCACCATGAACGACAACGATGAATGCAAAGGTGTAAGAGAATCACTCATAAGCTGCGAGGTATCTAGGCAACAAGCTATACTAGGTATATAGGCAGGTACGACACCGCAAGCCACCCTTCCTCGCCATAAAAGAACCAAAGAAAAAAGAAAAAGAAAAAAAAAAGAATCATCATCATCATAACAAGTCATATCGTTACACTTTTTAGGTATAGTTTCATCATCAATCATGAAGAAAAACACACACACACAAAAAGCAAAACCAGGAAGACTCGAAAGAGAAGCACCAAACACACACAGTCCGTCTCAACAACCCCCATCTTTCCCGTCCGGACATGCAACAAACAGTAATAAGATCAACTCATTCCATCTCTACTCCAACAACAAAACACACAACAACAAGATCAGTAACCGCCCCCGGTTAGTTTCCATCATTCCATCCTGACTCTGGCAGACATGGCACCAAATAACATAACAACCGACAAGACAATCCCCTCACCAGATGCAAACATGAAAGCCAACATGGAAGCCAGATATCGAACAAAGAGGCAAGCAACAAATGCTCCGCTCACTGGCTCGCTGGCTGGCTGGCTTGCTCTGCTCCAACAACCAACGACGAAGAGGTATAAGAAACAAGAAAATCAAGGAAAAAAAATCACAAGTTCAACACCTCATCACCAAACATAACCAGCCCCAGCAGCAGCAGTAGGTCCCGTCGGCGGACAATTCTCCATATCCTCATCATCATCATCACCACCACCACCACCACCAACAAGATCACGATCCATCATCTCCTCACAGACGGTATAATCATAGCTCTGCCCATGGATATAGCCATTCCCATGACCCAGCCCCGAGTCTCGTGCGCTAGGCACATTCCCCGAGCTAGGACTCATAGGCTTGGTGCTACTAGACGATGTCTTTTTTGTCGGCGTGGTATTATCGGGTTTGGAGATGATCCTAGGCGGTGGTGAAAGGACCCTCACGCTGCCGCTGGCGGGCGACGACGACGCAACTGGTTTCTTTCGGATCGGGCTGCTACTTGGGTATCGACGATGATGGCCGTTCACATTGCCATTGCCATTGCCGTTTCCAATCGCGGTGGGTGTACGACTAGTAGTAGTAGTAGCCGGCAGACTATAATGATGATTCACGGCTGGTGGATGAGAGGGGGGCGAGACAGCCCCTCGAGAAGAATCGCGGAGACCAGGACCGGACGAAGTCAACGGCCGTGAGTGGAGGAGGCGCTGCCTCTGGGGATAATGAAATGCGCTTGGGGCAGGCGCCACTACTGCCCTCGCTACTGCCGCCTGGAAAACAACTGGCGGTGGAGAGTCTATCACCATGGCGTCGCTGTCGTAGTCTTCGCCCGTGTCGTCGGTGGTATCCCCGAAGCTCTTCCTCCCGCCGTGTCCATCAAGAATAGGAGCTGGGGGAAGTAATGTCGTCGCAGGCGCAAGAACCGGTGAGGATTGTATTTCCCTTATACCACCTGGCGGTAGTGAAGGCGCCTGGTCGAGTTGAAAAAACTGATGAGGCCGAGCTTCTTGCTTATTCGGTTTGGAGGGGGAAGATGGGACTCTGCGCAGCCCGCCAAAGCCCAGCGTTCCAATGATTCGTCTCCCGGTTGATTCTTTGCCCGCCGACGAGAGTTTGATCAGCTTGCTCTTTCGCTTCGGAGGCGGCGTCCGCGTTCCCACCATGGGTGGTGGTGGTGCACCCGGAGGCGGAGCAAATGATTCAGCTGTTACGTAGAACGGGTTCTGCGCATTGGACAGGGCTGCTGCTGCTGCAGCGGACGATGATGGATCCGGGAATGGTGTAGCTGCGGTGTTGTTGTTGTTGTTGTTGTTGTTGTAGTTGTTGTTGTTGTTGTTGTAGGTATAGCTGCTCATTGATGGGCGCGGGCTCATATTGATCGATGGCGCAACAGCCGAGGACGTCGAGGGCCTTGGTTTGTTGGCAGCCGTTGAGTGAGAATTGAAACTACCACCAGTAGCAAAATTTACCGAGGCACGAGAGGTCGAACGCCGCAGCTTCTTGACAAGTTTGCGAGCACCGCCGCTTACGGTTGATGCCTCGATCTCCTTAAAATCGACGGGCATGCCGCGCTTGGTTCCGCGCTGAGGGGATGGAATATCGTGGTTCGATTGTTGTTGAGGGGATCGCATACCTGTAGAGCCCGGTACGGGAGGCGGACGAGTCGGTGGCGGTGGTGGCACCCGGTCAACAGCTCCTCCTCCTCCTCCGGACTGCACCGCCGTGCCGGATGGGATTGAAGGCAAACCAGAGCCCGACATCCTCTGGTTCTGAGAATTGGCATATGCCATGTGCTCCGAGAAGGACTTGAGTGAACCCGGAGGGCCGCCATGGGGAGGAACAGGCGGACCACCACCTTCGGCCGAGTTCCCATGGTTATGATTCGCTTGGCGTAGAGGATGCCTGGTCCCCTGGATCGCGTGTGCCTGAAAGAAACCTGATGCGACCAGATTCTTGTAGCTCTCCATTACTTCCTCCTTGGTAGGGTATACCGTCGGGTCCACCGGCGGTGGCGGCATCATAGCTGCCTGTCTTTCTTGAATGTCCATCGATGGACCTCTTACAGTGGCTGGCTCGGCTGGTGGAGCCGGCGTCTTGTTGTCCTTACTAAAGACGCGTCCAATGCTGCTGGACGACTTAGACTTGCTGAGATTCACCTTTTCCCGCACGCCATCCCATACCGCAGCAAGGAACCCGCTCTTCCGGGTCTGAAGCTGCGGCCGGCTGTTGTCTTGTTGCGGGGATGGCGGCTGTGTCTGTAGTTGTGGCTGGGAGGACCGGTGCGACGGACCAGAGCTGCTCAGTGGTCGGCGCGAGTAGAACTCACGGTTCGCTCGGGGAGGGTAATGTTGGAACGACGCCCTCGTTTTCGGTGGCCCACCGATACCGCCAGGGGCGTTAGTAGTTGTTGGCGTGTAAAACTGCCGTTCGTAAGCGGCCAGCTCGTTGGGACCCAGAAAGACTGGTGGTGGCGCGGCAGACACGCGATCGTTCATGGACCCTTCCACAAAACGGCTCTGCGTCATGCTAACACTAGCATTATGTCCGCTCTTGCTTCGGCCGCCGCCGCCTCCTCCTCCTCCGGCGCTCCCGGACCATGGCGGCGGATGCTGTTGTTGGTGCTTTCGGGACTCCATCAGGGTCGTCTATCCTCGGAATGTCTTGTGCCAATCCTGCGAGAATAAAGTTGCATTGGGCTCTGCGCCGCCTTTCGGGCAGTCAATTTTTGCTGTTGCGATACTGTTTGACTCGTGGCGTCAGTTTGAATGCCCTATTATTGTATCCTTAGAGCCGTTGGATAAGGTTGTTGGCTAGAAAATCGAGCAAGACGGGAAAAAAAGCGGTTTGTTTACTTTTGAGTGTCACCCTGTTATTTTCGGCCCTGGCGCTAGGAGCTAGCTAGGCAACCGGCAATTTCCTCCGAACGGAGCAGTCGCCAGCAAGAATCCCAACTTCAAAAAGAGAACAAAAAATTGTCGCCAACTGTAGAAGGTGTGCAAAAGAGTCGAGAAAATCAGATCTGGTCTCTTTTTTGATCGACGAGAGAAAGCAAGAACGGGCTGCAGGTCTTGGGGCTTAGGAGGCGTTCCTGAGCGGATGTGATGGGTAAACCCGCACCCGCAATGCAGGCGCGTTGGCGCGACCCGGCAACCACCCAAGCTCTCCCCCAGACAATCCCCACAACAGATTTCTTGTGCTCCCTGCAGGTCCGCCGCGGTCCCCACCAAACGCCCTTTCTTATTAAACACGTTCCTGACCGCGCACCGCGAGTCCACGAGTCCGCGACACCATCACGAAATTGCGATGGATCTCCGCGCTCCCTATTTTCCAAAGCACCAACCGCTGATGTGTAATTATACAGTATTCTCACCATCGACGTTACCAGGCCTTGAAATACGCCAAGTGCTGCAATTATCAATCTTCGTTTTGCACAACTATCAGACTCAGCTCACAAACGAGACAACATGAACTCTTAGAATGAGGTCATGACACGAATCGATAATATTGAACAAGACCATATATCACGGTTTGCTAGGTATCCAATTTGGGGTAAACGAGTAAAAAACATTGAATTGATTGGACACGCAAGGGAAGAAACAGAACGATAATCAGAGGATTCCTCCCTTCCGTCGGACGCCGGAAAGCATCGAGTGCATGGAAATGGTGCGTGCATAGGAGAAAACAGCAGAAATGAAAATCCATTGGAGTAGAATTCCGCGCGCCCAGAACACATTCATCACCTAACCCTAAGGTGATGAGATGACGGACAGCATAAAAACAAGACAAGAGTCCTATCAACAGTTCATTTTTGTTCCTTGTCCAGCCTCGCCAACTCTTATATACGTCCCCTATGATTCAACAGTATCCATCAATATAACAAGCAACCTCCTAGGTGGGAGAAAATAACAAACAGCAAGGAAAGAGATCCAAAGATTGAAATATCTGATATCGGCGCTTCTTTTGCTTCGTTGCAAGAAGAGAACAGCAAGATATGGTATGAAAAGAAATAATAAATGAGAGTTACTGTGCCGCGTGTGTTTCGAGCGCCCAAAAGACAAAACGAAATTAGGCAAACAGTGATGACCGTCCCAGCACACAAGGCTGCCAGTATGTACAATATCCAAAAGAAACCGAGAAC